GTGTACTATGTATTTTGCCTGTAGCTTAGGATTAGGGATTTAAGGTATTGAAATATTATATTATAATATATTATATATTATTCGGTCGGTTCGGTTTTTTGAGGATTTTTTGAAGAGAGTAGGGAGAGGAGACCGACGGGTCTTTTTTAGAAAAAACCGAACCGACCGAAATAACCAAATTTCTGAGAGTTGAAAATCGAAAATCGACTGAGTCGGATAAAACCGAACCGAAATTTTCTGTTCGGTCGGCTTTAGTCAAATTCTATACACCCCTAGTTACGACTTTTAAAAGTCTTGGGTATTCAATTGAAATTTAAAAATCTTATAAAATCATGAAACATTTAATTTATTTGAAACTATAATTTGTTAAAACTTTTAAGATGTTGCGGGTTTCTAAAGAAAAAACCTTATACAAAATTTCACTTCAAACATTACCTACAAACTTAAAATTTCACAAAATTTCTAAAAACTGTGAAAATATTAACAAGTCTCAACTATTAAAAAGTATTAAAATGTCACTTGAAATTTCAATTGAATATTCTTCCAAATAATCTCCCAAATCACTACCCACCCGGTCAAGATTTGAGTTTCAAAATGTTTGTTGAAAACATATTAGTAATAAATATATTGATATAAATAATTTTGCATCTTGTATGGTTGTTGATCATATGGTAAAATTTTAATTTAAAATAACTAAAAATGTGTAAAATAATGGGTTCAATAAAATTATAATTTGACATTAAAATTAATTTAAAATAATAAGAAAATAATTATTTTACATGGAATAATATGTAGTAGGAACAGTTGGGGACAAAACTCAATTTTTGTTTTTACTGTCTGATAACAAAATCCATTTTAACGACTAAAAACGACATCACCAAAATCACAATCTAAAATCTCAGCAGAAGCTCATGACAAGGCAGTAACAAAAGTTTCTGAGAAAAGACTACAAAAGTCATTCTACAACTAGACCAAAGCAATAAAATAAAATAAAGTGGCAATGCATTCTGCATCCAATCAAAATCCAGCTGAAAAAAAAAAAGAACACGTTGCTAAAGGAAAGGGCTTCGAGAACCAGTCTTCATCGTGAAGAGAAGACAACAATCCATTCATACATCAGACATGAAATAGAGCCACTTGCACTTTAGTCTTACTCAGGAATCATATTCTCATTGTCTGCATCACCTTCTTGCTCGATTTTAGGCTTTGATGGAGCCTGTCCAGGAGCCTGCTTCTTCTTGATTCCACTTACTATATCATCAATTCTCAAAAGCATGCAAGCAGCTTCAATGGCGGTCTTAAAAGCCTGCGCCTTCACTGTGTATGAATCCCAGATCTAAAACCCACAGAAATTAGTATATCAAACACACAAAATAATAAATAATAATTATAAGTGCATAGGAAATGGGCTAAAGAAGCAAAGAAATATCTTCAACTTGAAATGCTCGATAGATTCAACATTTCACTGATGGGTTAAATCTTAATAAACCCTGGCAGATTCGTACGATGCCCATTTCCTCAAATCAGCTATAACTAAAGATGAATCAAGAATGTGCCAGTAGGTAAGTCTTAAAACAGAGGACCTCAAGGACTAAACTTGTGCATGTTCAAAGTGTTTTATACTCAAAATCTTTCAAAACCTCAACTCAATATCACATGAGGCTCAAGATCCATCCAAAACAAAGTAGAAAAAGAAAAGTAACCAAAAGACACACCTGGCGTTCTTTCATATCCGTAATTTCACCAGTATTCCCATCTATGCCAATCCATGCGTTCTCACCATTTGCATGCTAGAACAATAAATACATATAAATATAGAGCAGGACATTTATTAGAACTTAACCACAAAAATACAGAGCAGGACATTTATTAGAACTTAACCATAACTGGAACTACAATATAAGTATTTTTTTTTTTACCTTTCCCTGTAAGGCAGTCATTTTCCGAATTACATCGACCCCACAGTTCTGAGCCAAAGTTCTTGGTATAGCCTCAAATGCAATCGCAGCAGCTTCATAAGGCCACTGTTCAGGGAAATTCAACAAATGAAATTTATTAAGAAAGAACATTCAGAAAAGTGACATCCAAAAATCTCCAAATACCTTCATGCTAGATGCATGAGCTAATGTAATCTAAATCAGTGTAACAAAGTTTGCAATAGCGTTAAAAAGTTCAAATACTTGTCTATATCACCAAGATGCATGAGTTACACAGTAGTTTCACAACAGGTTTATCAGGAGAAGTATCAGATTAAGATTGTTGAGGCTAGCACAGATTCTTAGTCAAAGTACCATTTATGACTGCGCTAGTCTAAACAATCTGATAGAAATACCTCAATAAATATGAATATCAATAATAAGGAAACCTGGTATTGACACAATTTATGGCAAATAAATACCAGCATCATGCTCACAGTGACAGACTTGGGATGTAACTGAATTACTTGAAAACAGATAAACATAGATGCGACAAAAGAGCATCAACAACATTTTACCTTTTCTACGCCTTCAATAGAAGAACTCTTTTGCTTTAACATAGCTGATACAGTCAGCTCCGTAGCACCTCCACCAGGAACAAGTTTGGGGTTTTTAATAATGTTTCGTGCCACAGACATTGCATCCTATGTACAAAAATTTAAAACGCTGGTCACTGCCCTACAAACTACAATGAAACAAAGTATTGATGATATAAAAAAACTCAGAACTACCTGCAGATTTCTCTCAACTTCATTCAGCAGGTCCTTGCTGGCACCCCTCAAAAGGACTGAGCATGCTTTTGGGTCCTTGCAGTCAACAATGAATGCAAAGAACTCGTCACCAATTTTTCTCACCTCAAACAGTCCAGCACCAGTACCAATATCAGATTCCTGCAACTCATCAGGCCTGTTAACAATAACCGCTCCACAGGCCTTTGCAATTCTGTTGTTGTCAGTCTTTCTTAGCCTTCTGATTGCACTCACACCAGCCTTGCTAAGATAATGGCAAGCTAGATCACTAAGACCCTTCTCAGTTATTACCAAATCTGGTTTGAATTTTAGTATCTGCATGCATAGGTTCTCAATGTATTCCTCTTCCATTTTCAGCAAAACGCTCCAATCTTCTTCCCGCAGCAATTCGGCATTGGTTTGGTTCTCACCTTTCTTGTACTCGAGAGGACAATCGAGGAGCATGATTCTAGGGTTTAGAATTTTTCTCCTCATCTTACCAGGAGCGACAACATCCTTGTTAATCATGACACCCCTTAGGACTTTTGAATCCTCCAACTGGCCACCAGGAATCTTCTCTACTTTGATGTACTTCTTGATGTCCACCTCACGCAACCCTTGACCAAGTTCCACACCTGCTGTAGTAGTTGCATCAATTGCCAAGTCCTGAAAGTTTCACAAACACCATACTATGAATCCAAAGCTAATCACATTGTAACAACTACAAATGCCAGTCATATGCAAGCAAGGAATGCGAATGTTTTTATGCTAAAAATACATTGACCATTCTGAACTATTAACTTATTATCTCCTAGCCTCCCACTCTGTTGAAAATGTGTCATACCATAAAACAGTGAAAGTCCCATACTTCTTCTGCCTAAAAAGATGGATAACATCAGAATACCTATGTTTTTGGAATTTCATAGGAAGATCATTACTTTGTTTTAAAAGGTGTATCTATGCACAAGTTGATGTTTTTGTTGTTGGTGCAGATGTATTGCATTATTGCATACAATGAAAAAAAAAAAAAAAAANTGAAAAAAAAAAAAAAAAAAATCTTCTCATCCATCACTTTTTCCACCACACTGCTAATAAAATCAGTACTTGACATGCCCTCTGGTCTTTCACAAATTATGGGGGGTAAGATTGCTACACAAACAGTGACAGTGATGGAAGTACTTACAGCGATTAAATCCCCAAATTGACTGGTGAACTTAGTACCAATGCAACTCTTTACTAGTCCTAACATTGTTGCGCCTGGCATACAATAAACATGTCAGAATATTATCTTCAAGAAAGAAACAATTAAATTGGCACTTAACCATCATTTTACAAACATGGTACTTAAACAGCACTGAATCATCCATCATCAATCTGACATGAGCTATTACATCAGTTTGATTAACTCTAAGCAGATATTGAACATTTACAATTGAATAGAGAGGTGGAAATGGTTGTCCCTTATGCATAATACCAGTAGTTGAAAGAGATGAGAGACTATGATAAAGAAAATAAAATATGATGGAAGTGGTCACTATCCACTAACATATGTGTGCAATATCAGTTTCTCATTCACTCTATGACAACAAACATCAGCACAGTCGAGTGATTTAATTCTCAAACAGAAAAAGATAGGATTTAGTTTTAGATACCAAAACCGAACAATGAAGACTCCGATCAACAAAGAGACGTTTTACTATAATAGAAAAACAAGGTACAAAAAAATAATTTTAAACAAAGCACTGGGAGTAGTACAACTCTTGTAATGGGAAATAAGGCGCCTACCATTATTCCTACAGGTATTATTCTATCTCTACTACAACAAACTGAATTCCATATAAACCATGCTGAATTCTATGCAGAACGAGGAGAAGTTTAAACTCTTCAGACTTTTTGTTGGTTATCCAAGGACCAAAGGAATACATTCCTATCGAGCACAAATATTAAAGCTTGATCTTAAGCAAGCCTCTCCATTAAATTGTTAGCTCCAATGATATGCCAAACTGTTGTAATTATATAGTTAACGGGACATTCACATATATATTCAACTTTTAAAGCCGAAACAGTAGGGATTACTTGGTTGCGATGGTTCTATCATATTAGAAAGCCTAAAAGTCTTGTGGCTTCTGACAGGAGCTGAATAGAAGTTTTTCGCAGCTATCATTATACTTGATTAAGATTAATATACAAGCAATAAACTTACGGTCCTTTACATCAACAGTGACTGCAATTTTGTCAAGTACTGAAACAGCATCCTCCAGAGCTTTATTATAAGCTGCAGCACATTAGAAAGAAACTTGTCAATTTCATTACAGATAATCTATAAAAGAACTGAATTGTAACATAAGCAATATTACCTCGACAAATTACTGTGGGATGATAGTTTTTGTCAATGAAAGCTTCCGCAACGTGGAGCATTTCACCAGCTTCAACATACAAGTTATTTGACATCAGGAAATCAGTAAATAATTAAATCTATGAACGAAACACAAAATACAATATGAACATATTGCCAACACGGGCACATTATGCGACACTTCACTATGTTTCGTCACTAGAAATCACGCATAACTACAACCTAAAACAGGTCTCTATCAGTCATATGAGTTACCCATTTTCCAAATTGGGATACAGTATGATACAATAAACTTATAACAATTGAACAAGATGACAAATTCATTCAATACATACCAAGGACAATCACAGAAGTTGTCCCATCTCCAACCTCCTCATCTTGCGTCCGACTCAGTTCAATCATTGACTGGTGCCATAAAGACAAATTACAAATTGCAAGAGAGAATTTCAATTACATGTAAGTTCATAAAATGCAAGAACATAATAAAATTTTAAGCTATAGTCAAGTAGGAGACATTTCTTCAGACTACTTAAAAGGAGAAATTAAAGATATAAGAAAAAAGACCATGCCTTTGCTGCTGGGTGTGCAACGTCCAATTCACGGAGAATAGCATTTCCGTCATTTGTCACTACAATCCCTGTAATTTTCAGAAAATAACATTTATTGACATAAAGAAATTGAAACTTAGATATATGAGATGAGAGCAATTTGCAGATGCAGAGCTATCGCATCCTACATGAAAAGACTTGTTTTCGATATCAACCAAGCTACTAGAACATGAAGTTATGATAGATCTAGAAAATAAAATTTCTCTAAGTTGTGTTTTTTTCTTCTGTGCATCCTATACTAGGGCGCACATAGTTTGTGCATAAGATGATCATGATTATTACCTCCAGCAGCATCAAGCAGCATCTTCAACATTGATCGTGGACCCAAAGTAGTACGTATAATATCAGCAACAGCCTATCAAGGAGAAGACGAAAAAAAAAAAGCCGTATAAGGAGATTGATGGGAAATCCAGAGCAGTCGTATGGCATAACAGAAACAAAATATTAAACCACAAACATCATTGACATTTCAAAAACACATTTAAGAAAATTATCATGCAATTTTCACAAGCCTCTAACCCTACAAGAAATGTAAAACCACGGATCTATTACAAATTTAACCCAATATCATTTTTATTAGTACTTTGCATAATCCCCACAACAAATCACGCATCCCCTTATCTTCCCCATCATCACTCACTAATTGTTTAAAAATTCAAAATGCACAACATGTGTATGTGACTTGAAATCTACCCTACATTATCAAGAGCTGGGTAGTCAATTATCAGAGAAAAAAACAAACTTCAGAGTATCACACAGGAATATGAAATTCCATATTGGCAACAAAAAGTGATGAGCAGGTTCTGAAAAGAAAGAAACTCATCATAATCATTGTACTGCTGAAAATTTCACCTTGGATGCCTGGATATTGGCATGGTGCACCTTGCTTCCAGACTCACGCTTCAGTGAATCTTCTGCTCAACAGATCCAAAAAGTATTAGCCAAATACACAAAGATGTATGCAGATAATTCGGTACTACAGCTATACACCAGGGGAAATCATTTTGAAATCCCTTTCCCCACAAGCAGTACTAAACAAATTGGTTTCATAGTCCCTGTATGTTCTTCATGTTTTGAAATTGTCTTAACTCTTAAATTAAATGAACACGTAAAATTAAGCCTTCAAATGAGAAGAAGCACCTACTCAAAAGCATACAATCCGTAAGTGGCAAAATAAAGACAGAATGAAAAAGTAAAAAAAAAAATGATATTTGTGGATCTTCAATAAATGCTTGATGTTCTAAATTCTAATCACAAACAGCCATAACAGAAGTGGGATTTGCTCAGACAACCATAAAGATACAGGCAACACCTAGTAAAGATCTTAAAACACAATTACACTAAATAGGGCCTGCCACTAGTATGCATCTGAATCTAGCTAACTCAATATCGTTTGATTTAAAATCTGCAATGCAGTATTTCGCGAGATGAACTGAACTGAGCAAGTAACGGCGGACCCACTTTTTGAAACTACATGTATACATATGATAGTTCAACTCTAAAAACGAAAATGAAGAGGAAGCTTACTCAGCACAAGTACTGGGGCATGCATCTTGGTTTTCTTGAGCTTGAGATTTCACAAATATGGTGACCGATGAGATAAAAAGAGCGCTCGCTTATTGAAAACCCTTGAACTCAAGCGAGGGTTTCAGAAGTGGTCCTGTTCATTTGCAAATCGCAACGCATTTATTGGAAAATTCTATTATGAGCACGTAGGGGTGAGCATCGGTGCCGAAAACCGAAAATGTTAAATTTTTCTCACCAAACCGCACCGAATTCGTAGATAAACCGAACCAAAATTTTCGGTTCGGTGCGGTTTCAGTACGGTTAACCGCAAATAAAACAGAAAAAATACCAAAATTGAGGTAAAAAAAAAAAAAGAATAACTAATAAGTAAATCTGTAAATGTATACAAATTGGGAACACCCTGAATCACTCTAGTCAGTAGAAGGGCTTCAATATCAAATTCATAAAAACATTGTGCTACATGACTATGCAGTAAATAGAACTTGAAAAAATATTCAGAGAAGATCGCTTGAACATGAACAATTAATAATGGTCTTTCTAATATACAACCTCTTATGCGTGTCCATTTAACACAGATCTGAGAACAAGTCCATATAATCTCTCAAGAACCAATCGTAGATTAACTACTCACCAGTTTCATCAATTTTTATTTACATATCTCAGAAACCAAAAACACAATTAAAAACGGAATCTATGTGAACAGATAAAACAAGAAAAACAAATCGAGAGGTAGTAAGGGTAAAGATAGACTGAGAGAGAGTGAGAGACTTAGAGGCCGGTGGAACGAGCGAGCGCCGAAATTCCGAATGCCGGTGATTGGAGAGGCAAAGAGAAGCCGGCGGCGGGGGGAAGGGCGACAGACGAGACGAGACGAGACGAGACGAGAGTGAAAGGTGCGAGTCAGACTGAGGGACGAGTCTGAATTTTGAAAAATTAGGGCAAGCATTTGTTATTGAAATATAAAAAATATAAAAACGTGCTCAGTGTGGTGTAGTTGTATATATTATACCTATAATAAAATGACAGCTTTCAGGTTTAAGCTACTCGGTGCGGTTCGGTTAAAACCGCACTGTTTGAACGTAAAATCGAACCGTACTGAAATTTTTGCAGTTTTTCAAAAGCTTAACCGCACCGCAAACCAAACTCTCCAGAAACCGAACCGAAACGCACCGAATACATCGATTTGGCTCGATTTTTCGGTTTCGGCTCGGTTTTGCTCAGCCCTATGAGCATGTTTGTTTATAAAAACTTTTGATTTCGTTTAGAATTTTTATTTGATTTGGTTAATTTTGAAAATTATGGTATGATTAGTTGTTGGTGAATATATTAAAGTAATATTTAAAATAAAATAATTAAAATTGATTTGATGTAAAAGTAGGAGAGAGATGATTTGAAGTAATGGTTAGTTAAAATAATGTGAGTGAATGAATAGTGAATTAAGGTTGATGTGGTGTGTATGAATGATTGATTGATATTATTTAATTATATTGATAATATGGATGATATAGTGGGGTTGAGTTAAAAAAAAAAAAATGGTTGAGTTAAAATGTTGAATTTATTTTTTGAAAAAATTTCTATAAACAAACATGTTAGTTTTTTTAATCAATTTGAGGCTTGAATTTTAATTTCTCTCAATAAAAAGGTTTACATTTTATGTTATCCCAATTTAAAGTTCATTTTTTTCGTTAACTTTTTATTGTAAGACTCCAACTAATTTTACTTTTTATTATAAATATATGAATCAATTCACTTTTTTATAATATAGTTATGTGAACATTTTTTTTAATTTATATTTACATACTTATAATAAAAATTAACAAATATCTTTAGCAAAACTACTTTAGTAAAAAATAAACCTATACAAATTACATTTTTGTAAAAGTTCAATAATGATTATTTTAAAAAACTCATAAGGGAATTTGAAAATATGTAATAAAAATTTTATTTTTAATAATTTAAATATGTAATAAAATCAAAAAATAATATTTAATACGGTCTACAAAAATTTATCCTTTTCAACCAACAATGGCATGATATCAACTTTTGCGTCCAAAATGAAAAGTTAAAATCTTTAAAAGCTAAAATGAAGGCAATACTATTTGAATATTATTTTTTAGTTTTATTCCATATTTATAATATTAATAAAAATAATATTTCAATTACATATTGATATTTTTTAAATAATCAATTTTTAAAACTAAACACTGTTAAAATTTTGCATAATTATAATTAAGTTTCATTTTATTATTAATATAATTTTATTAAAGATATTTATTATTTTTTGTTATAAGTATGTAAAATATAAATTAAAAAAACACATAATAATAACATTTTTGTTCATATAATAGTTGGTTCACATATTTATGTCAAAAAATAAATTTGGTTAGACCTTACAATAAAAAGTTAACTAAAAAAGTAAGAAGTAAATTGAGAATAACCTAAAATGTAAACATTTTATTTGAGAAAATAACAAAATGCAGGCCTTAAATTGATACAATTACAAAAAGTTGAGTCTTGTAATGGAATTTTTCCATTTATTACGTACATTAGTTTATTTATATTTGAATAACTATGTAAATTGCATAAAATATAATGAACAACGTAGTTTCCACAAATTTAAAAAGTTGTGACTAATTAGTTAGTTGTAAAAATATTAAATTATTATTATTATTGCAATTGCTCACGCAATTTTAAAGGGTTCGTTATGCTATTATAACCAATTAGTTATCTAATGAGATGAAAATAAAAGAATAATATGTACTTTAATATATATCTTTCATGTATTTTTCTAATGTGAATTTATAATTAATTAATATTAATAATAGATATTATATGATAAAATAATTACCAAAAAAAATATATTATTATACTTAATTAGTATTAAATGTAATTGTTAGTTTCACCATTAAATGAAAAAAATTGGCGGAAAACTTGCATTAAATGAATCTATACTTATATCAAAGGGGGTACTATTTACTAAATATAGTATGTAGAATAGTCAACCTTAATTAATGATTTGCTATTTTTATCAATCATTTAATTAATGCATCTAATATTTTTGGTATACAAATCAAATTAGCATTTAATTAATTCCTAAAATATTGAATATGCAATATTAATTTAGGAATATTCATGTAGTTCCTAAAATGTTGGTATGCAATACGTAAAAGAAGATTTTTTAATTTTTTTAAATATAAAATATTGCAACACGTAAAACTATTCCAGTTATTTTTTTATTTTATTTTACATATAAAATTTAATCAATATTTAGTGTATCCTACAAAATTAGATTTAGTTTAATTCTCCATACAATTGGTTGTAACTTTTTCAGTTGTACATTTATTTATTTATTTATTTTACACTTTTAAATTAATGAAGCTCTCCGAACATTATTAGGTAGTTTCAAACATTATTTGTGAATAATATAGAATATTTTAGATGCTTTTATAGATGTTATAAAATATTTTAAGTATTTTTAATATTTATATATCACACTTAAAAAGAATATTTTTCCAAAAAAAAACATTAAATACACATTGTAAATGTTAATAAAAACAGTCTTCAGTATTCATCTTTGATTTTGTCAAAACAAATCTCATAAAATCGGTGAAGTCAAAATTTGTACGTAAAGTCTATCTATACTAAAAAAAGGTAGATTCAAAATTCTTTATTTAATTTCTTCTTTTCCTTATGTAATTCCTTCTTATTATCTAATTGTATAGAAATCTGTTCTGATTTTGTTCAATCCTCTAATTGTATTTGTATCATATCCCATAAAATCGGTTTAACAAAAAAAATCCCATAACATCCGATAAGTAAAAATAAGTACGTAAAATCTTTACTAACATAAAAAAGACTTTATTTATTATCTAATTTATTATCTAAATGTATGGAAATCTGTTCTGATTTTATAGTACGTACTACAAATTGTGCACCCGTGTTCAGGAGCTACTTAACGAGCAAGCTATGTGGAAATAACTCATTTAGTGCTTCTGTCCCGTGCATACGGTATGTATTTGTATTACACATACTAGAAAATTGTGCACCCCGTGCATCGCACGGACTCTGTACTAATAAATGACCTTAAAATTGTGCACCCCGTGCATCACCCGTGTTCACATTTTGGCCTATTACAGGTCACGTACTATATATATCCCTTACATTTTTTTTATTCATTTATATAATTATAAAACTTGATAAATAGTCTTAATTTTGTGCACCTCGTGCATCGCACGGGATCTGTACTAGAAGCCTCTAATTATATATATTAGTTTTTGACCTGAGCTATATAATAGAAAAAAATAATAAACAAAACAATTGTAAAAAAGTTTAAGAAAGAAAATTTAAACATTATTAAATATTTCTTCGTATACAACGTTCGTGGTTTTTATTCCTTACAATCTCCATCACCACAACATCTATTTACTTAATATAACACATTTTATATGATTTCCACAAAATAAAATTGAAAGAAAAAAACAAAATTAAAGTTTGTGAGGTACACATCAATAATATATGTAATAAAAGTATACATATAATGGTTTTAGTTGTGTAAACAATTAATATTTGTACTATAACCATATAGACATTTTGAAAAATAATAAAAAATTATTAGAATAATACCAGCAAAAGGTTAAAATAATATATATATATATATATATATATATATATATATATACTAGTACAGATCCCGTGCGATGCACGGGTAAAAAATATTCTTTAATATTTATAAATTAAAAAAGCTCCTTAAATAATATTTATAAATTAAAAATATTGAGTCAATATGTAATACTACTTGTTATATGAAATATACATTGTGCAAAATTAAATTAAATACGGTGCAAGTAACTAATAATAAATTACATTATATTCATTTCGAAATACGTGTCATTTTAATCTTTTTATTCAGATATTCGATTTGACTACAATGTGATTCAAGTAGTTATATATATATATATATATATATATATATATACGAAATAATTTGATATGTTCCACGCACATTTACAAACTATAGTATTCTCAAGATTTTTTTCTCATTAATATCGAGTAAAATGCTTACCAATTGTTGTAAATATTTTTCCAGAGTAGAATCAAAAGATTCGAACACCGGGTCGTGTCTTTCGAGGAAGGTTAGCCGGATTATTATGCACGTTTATTCAAACACAAATAAAAGAAATAAAAATCCTAAACATTCTAAATCAAAGATTGGATTCAGTTTTTAATTATTAACTACTAAAATTTAAATAAAGCAAATTGAAATAGCAGACTAACACGTAGAACAAGTAAGATTTAAGAAGCTAGGGAGTCGGGGATATCCGTTTTGGTTCGAATTGCAATTAATGGGCAATTGATTGTTCGGTTAAGTGATTTGAATAACCTGGTAGTTTAAGTACTTATCCTCAATAACTCTTCGTAACAAGAGAACAAACTTGAACGACAAAATTAACAAGTCCTTTAACACCTAGACAATACAGTTACGAACAAGCCTAGTTTATATGGGCCTATTTCGACCGACTCCTCCCCCTTCGATTCTAAGAGTCGATTAAGATAGACTAGAGGGTTGTTAACCAACTAATCAATAAGAATCACCAACATCATGCACGAATAAATCAAATTCAATTGAAATATTTGGAAGTTGAAGTGTCACCCTTCAACAATTCTCAATATTCAAGCGTAATAATTGAAAAACCCTTTTTAAAGAACAACTCGTACAAATTAAACGATCAACAAATCCCAACAATCACAAGCGAATCCAAAACATTAATCCTCTATCCCTAGCATAAAGATTTAATCACTCATGATCGATTCAACACAAAAAATCTCGTAAATCAAGACAAACATATTCATGGATTAGAAAAATAGAAAGTCTTACAATTAAACGAAATTGAGAGTCGAATCTGATAACCAAGATTAATCCACAAAGCAACGACGAAATCCAAGCTTAAATCCTTGTTCTATGATGAAAAATATGAAAAGAGAATGAAAAAC